CCTCCAATCCCCTCCCAGTCCCTCCCAGTCCCTCCCAGTCCCTCCCAGTCCCCACCGTATCCCGCCAGCACGGAGGCCCCCAGGACGATGATGAAGGTCTGCACCAGGTCCGCGAACATCAGCGCCGCCAGGCCCCCTGCAGGCCACGCCCCCTCCGTCAGACCACGCCCCCTCCCTCAGACCACGCCCCTCAGTCAGACCACGCCCCCTCCTCGTGCCTGACCACGCCCCTTCCCTCACAAACCACGCCCTTTCTCACTCCCACCTTTAACCCCGCCCCCCCCAAAATTCCCCACACCCTGGATGAGCTGTGGCCACGCCCTCCTCGTCAAGCCACGCCCCTTTATGTCATCTGACCACGCCCACTCTTACACAGGCCACTCCCCCATCGCATTTGGCCACGCCCCCTCCATTGGAACCACCACTCGCTCCCCCCCTTTGGCCACACCCCTTTTGACCACACCCCATTTAGCCACGCCCCCCAAAACCGGTACGTTTAGCCACGCCCACCCCACAGGCCACGCCCCTCTGTGACCACGCCCCTCCACAATTAATCACTCCACTTTAGACCCTGCCCAAAGCCACGCCCACTTCAGCCACGCCCCTTCTCCCCCTCCTCATATTATTAATGACTCCTCCCATCCAAACCACACCCCCCGGACCACACCCTACTCGTTTGGCCACACCCCTTCCTCTCAAACCACGCCCACCTCCATTAGACCCCTCCCATTTTGGCCCCGCCCTTTCCAACCACACCCTTTTAACCACACCCCTTCTGGCCACACCCCTTTCTATAACCACACCCCTCCACGTGACCACGCCCCTTTTCCTTTGACCACGCCCCATCCCCTCTAAACAACACCCACCTCAGACCCCTCCCATTTTAGCCCCGCCCCTTCCAACCACACCCTTTTGACCACACCCCTCCCGACCACACCCCTTTCTATGACCATGTCCCTCCACATGACCACGCCCCTTTCCCTTTGACCACGCCCCCTCCCTTCCAAACCACGCCCACCTCCCACCACCACTCTCAGACCCCTCCCATTTTAGCCCCGCCCCTTTCAACCACACCCCTTTCCGACCACACCCCTTTCTA